ACACAAACACACACACACACACACACGCGCGCGCGCACTCATCCAATTTCTATTTTTTAGATCAAGACCCACACTGTGGTAAGTGATGCGATCGGTGTTAAAGAAGAATTTGTATTCACTAAAATCTAGTGGGTATAGAATAAGGCAGAGTGAAAAATTGCAAGGAAGGGGACGGGCCTGGGATTGAACTCCCGACCTTCTGCTCAGTAAGCAGAAACGGTAACCACTGAGCTACCGAGCCTCGTCAGTTAAAGTTAAAGTTAAAGTTAGGTTAAAGTTAAGTTAAAGTTAGGTTAAAGTTAAGTTAAAGTTAAGTTAAAGTTAAGTTAACTTTAAAGTTAAGTTAAAGTTAAGTTAAAGTTAAGTTAAAGTTAAGTTAAAGTTAAGTTAAAGTTAAGTTTAAGTTTAGTTAAAATTAAGTTAAAGTTAAGTTAAAGTTTAGTTAAAGTTAAGTTAAAGTTACGTTAAAGTTAGGTTAAAGGTAAGTTAAAGTTAAGTTAAAGTTAAGTTAAAGTTAAGTTAGAGTTAAGTTAAAGTTAAGTTTAAGTTAAGTTAAAGTTTTGTTAAAGTTAAGTTAAAGTAAAGTTAAAGTTAAGTTAAAGTTAAGTTGAAGTTAAGTTAAAGTAAAGTTAAAGTTAAGTTAAAGTTAAGTTGAAGTTATGTTAAAGTTAAGTTAAAATAAAGTTAAAGTTCAATTAAATATCATTTTAAATTCTGTTTATACTCACGAGTGCGTGTGTGTGCGTGTGTATGCGAGCGTTTTTGTGTTTGTGTGCCTATTATAAATCACTACAATCAACATTAGTTTACCAAAAATGATCCCTGCTGCTGCAAACCTTTCCCCACATCCAACATCCCAGCGATTTCTCGTGGAAGCGCAGAGGATTTCTCGGTTTCCTTCACAGCGAGTATCACGTCAACACATTCCTTCCCATTCCCTATTGGACCTGCATTCGGACACGGCCGGCGCTGGTATTGCTAAATATTAGATCTTCAGTTTTTTACACATTGAGGATGAATGTTAGTCCCAAACATCATCTGTTGGTTCTCTGTGTAATTGCAACTGATCTGGTAATAACAGAGTAGCAACCGTGGGCGGTCAATAATCCTAATGCTAATGCTAATGTAGGCTAACCCGTTCCTGCTCATTTTGAACAATCACAGCAACATCAATCGTTGGAAACAGTTCTCAACTGTCTACTGTACCCCCACAAAGGCTATTGTTTTTTACAGGCTCTGAAGACCAAATATGCTGAAGTTTGCAATCATTGACTTGTGTTTCATCCTGGACGAGTCATCACCCAATATCAAGTGGCCGAACTGTTTGCGATGGCTTACTGCAGTGCAATTGAAAAAGCGGTCAACGCTTTCAGGATGTGCGGCATTGTACCCTGGAGTGCTTACAGACCAAGATTTTGCTCCAAGTGAAGTGACAAATATTGACCAATCGAGTAAAGAATTCTTCACCAGTTTTCACCGCATTTTTTCAAGTTGGAGAGCAGCGGAGGGAAGGGTTACAGGAAGAAAGCTACCCGTAATACCGCTATGAAAATTTTATGGAAACTAAATGTGGAAATCCATAAGAATTCCGAATCATACTTTGTGGAATTTCTGAGAAGAATTCAAATGTAATTTAAGGAATAATTCCACAGAAGTTTTGGAGAATATACTAAGGAACTCTGCTAGAATTGTAAGAAGTTCAAAGTAAATTGCAGAGTGGATTTCTGTAGCTACTTTCCAGAGTGTTTTGAAGAAAATTATGTGGGTATTACCTGGCAAGATGGATTCCTTAGATGATTTTAATTAAATTCAGAAATGCTGTGAAAGCTTCCTACTGACTAAGAAAAACTAAGATTATGAGCGTTTGGAAAAGTTTGTTTCTTTAAAATTTAAATATTTTATATGAATATGAATATACATAATAATAAATAAAATGTCTAAGACTTCTTAGCATTCTGCGGTTCTTGCATTTCGATAATTTTAAAGAAACTGAACTCAACAAATTTTCGAAACTGTAGCTCACTGGAAAGTTTTGAGATTAGAGATTTAAAACAATTTACGAAATTTAGAAATTTGCAGTCTTGGAGCATTTCTTTCCAAGACTCCGAGTCTTTGAAAAGTTCTTTCGTAGCAGCTTTCTCTTACTTTAATCACTTCATTCGAGATTCTTCCCCCGGTTTTTTGAAAGCAGCTTATGCCCTTGTTCAAGGCCTTCAAATGTCTTTTCAAAACATGAAATGTCTTCAAAATGTCTGCGGAAAATATGAGTCTTCGCGGGATTTTAAATGTCTTCAAAATTAAGACATGTCTTCAACCATTGGCATTAGGCATCACTCGAAGGGGGGTTGATCATTGAGGTGAAGTTGATCACTGCAATTTTCAATTTTCAGTTGTAAACAATCATTTTTCATAATGTTGTTGTAAGATAATTTGCTTAGTATTTCATTTTGGCTTAAAGTAAAATGTTGGTGGTTGACGTTTCTGCCACCGGAGTGGGCTTACTTCCCTTCCTAGGGAAGTCGTGACCAGAGATTTTAAAGCCTCGGAAAATTCCAACAACCTCGACTGGGATTGTATCCAGACCCATAATGGTCACGCCATGATGACCAGTGAATCCCGATTAGTAGTTTCCTGTTTTTTTCCCATCTTATTTCCCGTTAAACCGTTGGTCCTTGGTCCATCAGTTGATGGGTCGGTTAGCTAGGGTTCAAGGTAGCATTGGTACTCAGTGCGGAAAACAAGATCGACGGAAAACACATCGAGAGATCGAATTTACTGCGATGTATCTTAGGTATCAGTAAGGACTTTCTGTGTACAACAAGAGATGTTTGCTTAGCTATACTAAGTTTAGAGTGGAATGCCCCTAGATGAAATTCTTCCAAAGATTCTCTTCTAATTTAAAAGTTTTTTTCCTTTCTTAGAATTCACTGAAATTTCCATCTATAATTATGTTTTAAATTCTATTGAACTCTCTTTAGAATTCCAATGAAACTCACCATAAAAATACTTTGCTCAGAATTACCTTTGAGTTCTCCTCTGAATTCTTTTGAAAAACTCTCTTGCGTCAAAATTTTCTAGAAATTATTTTTGAGATGCTCTTTGAATTACCTTTGGCATCCCCTTTAAAGTCTTCAAAGAATTTCTTTGGAATTTTACTCTCAAAATTCGAATCTCTTGGTTTTTTCACCTGGCACATTCTTCACAATCTTCATGGGATTTTTCACAGAGATACTTATATATTCTACTATGAACACAATTGACTTGGAGATCTAGCCAAGACTCTCTTAGAGTTCTACTCTGAACTTTTGCGGAATTCTATCTACGATAAAAGTTAGAGGCAAATTTATGTAAATGAATGCCCGAAAGGAATAACCATACAATTACCATAAAATAAAATACAGTCACAACAAAATCTGTATATGCATATCATACAAGTAAATTTGAAATATTGTTATAACACTAGATCTACAATACGTTCCATGTAGTTTGAATTTGCAACAATAGAAAAAAATCAATAAAATTATTGGTAAATGGCTCCATGTTGTTCAGGAAAAAGTGAGCAGTACACCTGGATCCTAACTCTTCAATAACAAATTCAACTTGAAAAGCGTAACGATGTAATCCAATTTAATTTATGGTACTGTTTCATGGAAAAATGATTCAGCAATCTACGAATGTAGCAATCTACGATACTGTCTGTACATTGCTATTCAACTTCTGGTTGTCTAGGACGGCTTTACTTCCCAGTGATGTGAGATTTTTAGAATGGGATTGAACCCAAACCCACTGGGGTAAGAAAGCAGTCAAGCTTACCACTCAACCACCAACGCCGTTTATGGTGTTTTGGAATGGTGCATAAATTATACTCCAACATTATTTAACTTTCAGTCTAAAATGACCCATCACTAAAAAAAAGTCTACAATTATTGAAAAACCTTGCGTCATGAAGACTCTGATCAACTCAATACAATATTAATTTCCTGAACCAAGTTTAGAGTTGCTGAGCGTATGTTAAAGAAATACCAGAATGCAAGTATTTAAATTTTGAAACTGCGTCGCACTCACACATTCACCATTAAACTATAGCTAAGTCTAAAATCATTAATGGGTCATGCCTACTTTCAAAGTTTAAAAAAATCTTTCTTTTTTGTTGCATAAATCGCAAATTTTTATATTCAAGATTATTTTCCCAAAAATTTCAAGTTTATCCGATAAAAATTTGACGAAGTTTTCCGACTTTGAACCATGTCCATTATACCAGGAATGTACCTTAAAACTTTAAACGCGATTATCTTGAAAACTCATGTTCAAACCATTTCAATTTTCAGTGACAATTCTGTCAGTGACAAACATGTGCAGATTTTTATATTAGCTAAATTTGTAACGAAATTCAATGACTTGAGCAAAATACGTCGACTTGAGCGAAACATGTAGAACTTTTTGGCACTGGGTGCTGAAAACTAGTACTTTCCGACTCTGTTATTATAGTTAAGAAAAGAAGGCCATTATGCTATTCAAAACAGTGTCGAAAAATGCCACCTTTTCAGCACTGAGTGCCTTCTTTTTTTCAAATCCATCGATCGCCGCCTGAATTGACTGATTGTTAATGCAACTCCTTTGAATTTTTTGTTTTCTAATAATTTCTGCACGTGCGAGCGTGGCCAGTGTGAACCTTCGTTTCAAAAAGGCCTCCTCCTGGGAGAGGCATCCTGGGGAACAAACACCACCACGAGCCACATTATTTAATGATTTTCCAAGACGAATGTAAGAACAATAGGTGTGAATGTTTATTTTAAATATGTCGCTTATTTTCCGAGAAAAAAAAAATCAAAAAATTCCTTTTTTTGCCCTCAATGCTAGGTTTGCTCCCTTAATATAATTTCCCCTTAAGAAAGATTTTACCAATACCCTGACTAATTTATATTAATCCATTCACCCTTCTTCGTCAAGGCACCGAAATGATGGAATTATTCTACGCTGTCCCCATGCTTCACACTCACCTTGATGTTCCGAGTCTGCCCGCGCAACGGACACCGCTCGACAAGTGATGCAAATCCAAATAACAAAGCTTATCCGTATCAGAGCTCCACCGGCATTCATGATTTCTCGTCTTCTATGCAAAATATTCCATGAAAAATTGCACCAATCTTGCAAAACAATATTCATGCACGTCAGCTGACAGCACAGCTTCTAAGTTTCTCGCAAATTTTTGTCACAAACAAATACTACCTATCTGATTTCCTTTAAATTAGCACTCTTTCGGGGCAAAATAAATAACCATCGGAAATTTATTCCTCTCGCTTTTTCCTCCCGGCTTCATTCACCATTCAGCGCCCAGCACTCGGGGAACACAATTGCTTCATCCGTTCGAACCATTTGATCGGAGGTTTACCTTCTGCTCAAGCTCTTCAAACACGCACTATTTTTTTTCCATTCAATAATGCTGACTCACTAAACTGTATCGTGTTCGTTTCGGTTTTTTTTTTACCCTCCCGGCTATTTTTCGGGCATTGATATATTCGCACACTTTTCACTTTTGCAACGCACTTAAGCTACCACTTCCCGTCGATTTCAAACAAAAACCACTTAAAACTGGATTAGAGCGCCGTAGCCGACCGATCACCATTAACTGACGCGCACGCGTCGCAAAACACTTCTTAAGTTGATTCCTCCAATTGGTGCTTTTCCGCATTTGGGGAAAAAAAAAATACACAGCTCACCCTTTAGGTCCTAACGAAAAGCCACACACTGCGGAGACTTCTACCCATTATCGATCGATCCACTCATCTTTCCCGAGATTCCCCGCACACGCGCTTCCGATGCAATTTGCAGTTGCAACGGGATATCCAATGGGGTGCTGATTGGCAGATGAGCTTCCTTTCGGGAGACGATTGGTTTTGAATAAGACTGCTACTATTTTATTTGGAAATACATACAGAACCACGAGTTGAAGGAAACCACCGATCGGGGAAAAGAAAAAACCGCGTCCGAATCGTACCGCTCGCTCCGGTAAACTGAATTGCGATCGTCCAACTAGTGCGGTCGATCGCGAGGCGTGCGAGCATCGCGCGGTCAGTGAGAGATGTGTGACGAGAATGTGTGAATGGAGAGAAGTCAGTGGGCAGTGATGCCAGGTTGGTTGGAGAATTCGATCTCCGAGTGTGCAAGGGCACGCGGAACATTTAAAAAAAAATTAAATAGCAGTATATACTTACTGTGTTCCGCTTGGAACGCTTGCTGCTGAATAGATTAATGGTGGTTCCATGCATTGGCTGGGTACTGTTCCCTGCCAGATAGACAGAGCTGTGATCAACCCGAGTCCTTTGTATAATAAAGAAAGTTCTTATTTACCGACCTTTTCTCCACTAAACTGTCTGTTTATTACAGACACCATATTTGCCCTCAGAGAAGCTCTACTCCAACGGAGAAACTACAACTATCGTAAAAGATGCAAAAATCTTTTAAACTGTTCCACTAGCGTGCACAGGGATCTTGTTAAGGAGGGGCGATTTTTTTTCTTTCTATGGTGCATTTAATCTGGAGATGGGGAGTACTTCAAAGTGCGTGGTGGATGGTGCTGTCCATCCACCACTGGTTCCCTACTGCTCAATTTAGCTAATTTTATTAATTTTTTGCTCCGGTGGTGATTCATCTTCTGCAATGCAAACTGCTTTCAGACAGCCAATGGAATTGGCAATTTAATCCCTTCGACGATGTCGATGATGACCGGTTCGTCAAATGGTTGCAATAATAACCGGAATGATACATTTGCTGCAATGTTGTTGCCTTGGTGGTTGGATTCAGCTGAAGTCACATCAGATGGTGGTGATAGCACCGACTAACCGACATAAATGACCAATAAGAATTACATTCTCCTTTCGCATGCACACTGCGTCGACAAGTACAAGGTTAAAACAGTGCGCATAGCAGTGAACAAACAGTATATTGCTCTTGATCAATCCAATCTTAGTCTGCAAGTAGCAGATGAAATACGCGTATCTGTCAAAAAATAAGCAATTATAACGGAATTAAAAGGAAATAAACCAACACACTCAAAGCTCTTCATAAAAATATATTGCTGTTTTTGTCCTTGCACTTGGTTTGTACTCCAGCAGTGCTGCCAGCCATTGTGCTGGCACTGTCAAAACATCCTGCCATCTAGAAACACTGGAATAAGAGACCAGCGGAGACACTGTTATGATTCCAATCTAACTGTCAAAAGCGGTTCCAATCTGCAATGTTTACAAATGGTATGCTTCAATTAGGGAGGAGTATTAAAATCGTTTAACAATCACTCATGAACTCACTCGTCGGTGCATTTATGAAGTCACTGGCAAGCAGTTACAAATGTTAGTGATGCCTGGATTGCTTTGATGTTTATCGTGTTGCCAAATTCATGTTTTTTTTCTCCACTGGTCTCTTATTCCAGTGTTTCTACTGCCATCAACTGCTCCCAAGAAATCTGCATCGCTGTCAGGACCTCAGAAATGGTATTGAAGATGGTCATCGCGTCTGTTTTCAACACCCGTCTCACACCCACGAATGTATCCGTCTGCCGATCATTATCAATATACCTGATGAAAATCACCAACTGCTCGTGGTGGCCACAATCGCTCGTCTCATCTGCAATGATTGCCACTGGTTTTCCTCGCAAGGTTTTCGCAATGTTCCGCAACATTACATTGTGTAACGACGTAATCATGTCATTTTGAATACCGTTACTTGTGTACTGGCATTTTTTGACACCTTCCGCCAAGTGTTTTCCTGCACAGGATCGTAGTTAGCCACCAACTGGGAGGCACATTTTCCCAGAATGTTCACGAAGTGGTCGGCCATCTTTGCAAAGTATGCGCACAATATCGATGAAACGTTCCGTTATATAGTGATTTTGTAGCCGCTTTGCCTTATACCCCGTACAGACTATGGTTTATATTATGTAATATAGGCTGTCTAGTAATGAGCACTCATACATCTAGTTTTCACTGGAAATCCTATATGTGACTGCTCATTGCAAGACAGTCTATATTACATGATTTTCTCGGTATTCTTTTCGAAATTATCTTGGAACTATCTGCAGGATGCTCTAGAAACTATCCGCAGAATTTTCTTTGAATTCTCCCCAGAAAGATTTTGGAACTGTCCTAAAAATTCAATATCCTTGAGGTTCTTTTCGGAATATTTTTGAACTTTTCTTTTGTCAGAACACCTTGGAACTGAAATTCTCCTAATGTTTCAGAAGAATTTCCTCAGTATTCTCCAAAAATTCTTTCCAGGATGAGCTTGAAATTAGAGTCGCCAATCTTCTCATGGAACCCAATCTTTTTTGGATAGCGCGCAGTGTAATGGCCAGTAGTGTCTCGAGTGATCGTTGCTTGAAAATGTTGCTCGCAATCTGTTTCCTCCTGGGAACGTAGTGGCTTTTCAGTCATCTCCTCGATAGCCCAAAATTTTTCTATTGTTTTGTCGAGTGGTTCCACAGTCGCTAGATGACAAGTAACCGTCGGATTTGTTCCAGGCCATTCGGATTCACCAGCAGCTACCCAACCAAAAACGGTATTGACGAAAATCAGAAGTGTACTGTTGAGCTTACGAGTTTGAACCCGATCACCATCGAGCAGATGAAACTCGTAGAAGAATTGCGACCCAAGTACCAGATCTATTGGACCTGACACGAAAAATTCGGGATCGGCAAGCTCCATACCGATTGGCGGTGTCCAATTTGCCAATGGAAGAGATGAAGATGGCTGATCAGGTGTGAGCCGCCCCAGAACCAGAAAATCCATTGACATAGAAAAGTCCTTAATGCGTGATGAAATGGATGTCGATACTTCGTGCGCAGTGTTCTTTCGTGTTTGACCGATGCCACTGATCTCCACCCGTTTTGCACGCCGTGGTAGCTTGAGTAACTGACAGAGTGCTTCTGACATCAGGTTTGCCTGTGATCCAGAATCAAACAGGGCGCGTGCTAGATGCGTCCTACCTCAGCTGTCCTTGATCTTCAGTAGCACCGTGAGCAAGAAGACGTGATTTCCAGGATTTCCAACCGCCATGTTTGATGAAATAGATGCTAACGAGCTAGTAACCGTACCACCAGAGCTTGTAGCACCTTCCGAAGTAGATGATGTCGAAACCTGTGTCTTTGGTGCGTTTGGAGCTTCCGAATCAGGAGTAAAAGTAGAACCGGATCCAGGGAATCCAGAATGAAGTAATGTGTGATGTTTCTTGGAACAAGTTCTACAGCGGAACTTAGATGGACAATCACGTGCCATGTGATTTCGACCTAAACAATTACTGCAAAGCCGTTTTGAGTTGGTTAGTTGCAGCTGTTTGTCCACCGAAAGTTGATTGAAAGAAGAACATTGTACGATCGAGTGCTGTTCCCCACAAGAAACACAGTTTTGAACCTTTCGATCGAAATTTTAGGACGTGGTTTGAATCCAAACCATGAAGATTGGCCTTGTGTACACGAAACGAAAATCAATTATTTAATTCATGTGTTTCACTTATACATTTTTGCCAAAGCATCAGCCTTATACATTCCATAAGACAAACCACATTGGTCCTATTAGAATGCATAAAAGGTATGTGTGGCCGCTTATACATTTCATTTGACACATGATCTTTACTAACTTTTTGCAAGGCGTCTGCTTATTAGTTGACTTATACAATTTATGAATAATCAGCAATGGAAATTTGCCAAAAGGTATAAGGAGATTTCTATCCGTGTTGCAGACACCTTTTGATCGACGAAAACTGCATCAAGTACCCTCGTTTGCTTTTTCTGAAACTCCACCAGTACACCGAAAGATGGTTCAACTTTGTCTGACACATGTTCTTCCCAACGCTTTTGAGTAACGTCATCCAGCTTAGACACCATAAGATGTGTTATCATTGCACCCCAGCTGCTTGTTCGCTCCCCTAACTGGTCCAAAATTTTTGTGTTGCGCTCGAAGCAATCGATGAGGTCATGGATACCTGTAGATGAATTTTCGGAAACTCAAACATCGCGTTCAAATGACGTTTCTTCAGCAAGTAACCGTTGGAGAATCGTGCTACCAAGCCGACCAAGCAACCTCGTAATTAGCCTCGCTCATGGGATAAGAATCAACCAATTTCAACGCATCACCCTTCAAAGATGCCCGTAAGTAGTGGAATTTTTGGATACCACACAATTCCGGGGAAGAATCGATCAGGGCCTTGAACGTGTCGTGAAAAGGCAGCCATTTTTCAAAATTTCCGTCGAACTCGGGAAGGTTGATTTGAGAAAGCCGTACATAAGTATGAATATTACCCGACTCCGAAGAGGGGACAGATGAAGAATGCAATCGTGTCGATTGAGTTTGCGTAGGTTGTGGTAGCTTACTAACTAGCCCTGCCTTTACCTCGAAATAGTTTTCCTCGAAATTTGCCCTGACCTGACGATGCACCTCGATGTTTTCCTCTTGGTCATCTATTTCTTCGATGTCCGCTTGAATCTCCTCAAATTCGTCCCATTTGGTCTCCAATTTCTCCAATTTCTCCAAACGAAACCGTATTTGGTGCTCATCCGCTGCTTGGCTGCTGTTCAAAAACTTTGCCGTACGTGACAGGAAGTCTACAATACTGTCCCTCACGTGGATTTTTGGCTTCAGTTTCTTCCCCATAATGAGTACCATAGAAGATGATGGCAGAGCGTCGAAGAACCAGGAAATGTCCTGTGAATATACGGGACAAAGCGAAGAGCCTTTCCAAGAGAGATTTACGGATTTGGACAGGTACTCACCTGGTGAGCCTGTCAAATAGGCCTTGTACAAATTGTCTCTCTGGAACCTGCTTATAATTCTCCGACCAATCCAAAATTCCGATCACCAGTATGAGCCAAGGTTTAAGTCTTCGGAGTACCAGCAACTAATTATAGATTCATCGTCCAGAGCCGATACTGCAAATATAGTCCAATCGGAGTACCTTCTGATCATCAAAAAAGACAGATACTCACTCT